CCGCTGTTATGTTCTTTACTCCTGGTAAGTATGAAACTACGAGAGTGATCTTGTTTTGTAAGCACCAATTCCATAATCAGACTGCTTTGGTGCATAGAGCATGGGATTGGGCACCTGCCAGATGATTTATATTGTACGTTATTGACTGACAATATATCAACATTCTGATGATTCTGCTGTAAATGTGTGTAACAAGCCACTGGCATGCATTGAATGCAGCTCTAAGAACTAATACATTGATATATGTAAGGTGGTCTCTTGTGTGGCCCATCGTCCTTGTATTGCAATGGTATCCATGTGGGCTCCCCATCCAATGAGGAAGGCATTGGTAGTTATGTCCCGATGGAATGGTACGCCTGTTAGAAGATTGCAGGGATCAGGCCACCAACCTAGGGATTTTAAGACCTGTGATGGAAGAGATACCAGTCTGTGTACTTGACGCTTGTGGTGGTTGTAAACTGTCGCCAGCCAGTGCTAAAGACATTGAAAGTGCAAGTGGGCATAATCAATTACATAAGTTGTAGCCGCCATGAGACCCATAAGCTGGAGACAGGTAAGTATGGGGACAGTGGGACTAGTTTTAAGAGTAGTGACAAGGTTCTGGATTGCTTGGAACCTTTGCATTGGAATGTATGCCCTTGCCAATATAGAATCTAGTTGAGTATCTATGAACTCTAGAGTTTGTGTTGGTTGTAGGGTTTGGTTCTGTATATTGAGTATGGTTCTGTATATTGAGTTTCTGAGGACAGGACAAGGAGTAATGGGCTTAAAGTGCAGCAGGGGAGGTTTAGATTGGACATTAGGAAAAAATTCCTAACTGTCAGGGTGGTCAAATATTGGAATAAATTGCCAAGGGAGGTGGTGGAATCTCCCTCTCTGGAGATATTTAAGAACAGGTTAGATAGACATCTGTCAGGGATGGTGTAGACGGAGCTTGGTCCTGCCTTGAGGGCAGGGGGCCGGACTCGATGACCTCTTGAGGTCCCTTCCAGTCCTATTATTCTATGATTCTATGAGGCACAATAGCTCAAATATTTGGCTGGTTGTTGCTACCGTTCGATGTGTTTCCACTTCCGATGGGGCTTTTACCAAATAATCATCTAGGTAAGGAAAAACCATCACATCCTGTCTGCAAAGGTAAGCCGCAACCACAGATGAAGTCTTCGAGAACACTATGGGTGCAGAAGAAAGGCCAAATGGTAGTACCCAGTATTGATAATGGTCCGCTCCTACCACCAGTCGTAGAAATCGTCTGTGCGCAGGGTGTACAGCTATGTGAAAAATTGATTTGCAGCCCTTGACCTGCAAGATGCCTATCTCCCTTCTCTAATGCTGGGATTATTGAAGCTAGGGTAACCATTTTGAATAGTTGTTTTCAAATATATCAATTCAGTCTGAGGAGGTCAAAAATAGGCCTCCATCCTCCTGTCTTCTTTGGGGTGCAAAAGTAATGGGAGTAGAATCCCTTGCCTTTGAAGCCCTTGGGTACCGTCTCTATTGCTTCAAGGTTGAGCAGGTGTTGTATCTCTTGTTTGAGTAGGGCTTTATGAGAGGGGTCCCTGAAGGGGGACAGGGAAGGTGGGAAAGTGGGAGGCAGTGCGATAAAGGGGATGGTGTACCCTGATGTTATGATTTTGAGGACCCAACGTTACGATGTGATCGCAGCCCAGTGATGGCGGAAAGACCTGAGATGGCTGTGAAAGGCTGGGGCAGAATGTGTTAGATCTTGCGAGATGGAAAGATTTTGCAGGCCCTCAACCAACTTGCTGCTTATTGGTATTACAAGTATTCTGTGGGCATCTCCTCTAAGGGCACTGCTTGTTTTTTGAGTGATCAAAACCGCGTTGCTTATATCTGGAGTACAAGAACTCCCAGTGTTTTTGATATGGGGTGTATCGCTTATGGCAGTATGGGGAAAATGTACCTCTCAAATGTGCGCAAAAGTTGTTCTGGAGTCTTTGCTGGAATGCAACATATCATCTGTCTTTTCAGAGAATAATTTGTTTATCGAAAGGTAGATATTCAATTTTCGACTGTAGCACACAAGGGACTCCTGCAGATTGTAGCCAGGAGGCTCTCCTCATAATCACCAATGTTTCCGTAGTTCTTGCTGCTGTAACTGCTATGTAGAGGGCTATCCTGGAGGAGGTGTAACCCTCCTGAACAATGAACTTTAATATGGGTCTCTTGGAGTCCGGGCTACTCAATGAGGGTGGTAAGCTTTGTGTAGTTGTCAAAGTTAAGGTTGGACAACAGTGCTTCATAGTTGGCTATACATAAGAGTAAGGTGGAAGAAGAGTAAAGCTTTCTGCCAAACAAGTCCATACTCTTCTTGTCTTTCTCCACAGTGTTCTTATATTGTGGGAGTTTAGATCTATGTTGGAAAGTGTCAATAATTAATGAATTTGATTGAGGATGGGAGAATAAAAAGTCAGCTCCCTTTGGAGGAAAAAGTATCTTTTATCAGTGCACTTATTAGTTGGTGGCACTGAGGCTGGAGTCTGCCAAATTTCATCAGCAGCTTCCATAATAGCTTTGTCTAGGGGAATTGCAATTCTTCTCCGTTGTGACGTCTAAAGATTCTTGAGAAGCTGGAGTTATTTCCCTAGCCACTCAGTTAATTGGATGTCTTAGGATGTAGCCACCCTCTGAAAAAGCTCCTGAAACTGTTTGAGGTCATCGGGAGAAGACTGGACACCAGGTATAACAGCTTCATCAGGGGATGATGATGACTGATGGGTTGGTGAAACATCCGGTGGGTGTTCCTCAGCTTCAGATAGCTGACTTTCCTCTGGTTCTGAATGATGAGCTATAGAGGGAGTGTTGGAAGGTGTAATTGTTAGTTGCTGGTCATGGAAAGGTTGAGGAGAAATGAACGGGGCATAAGAAGTTGGACGACTGTGGCAACAAGGACAACTGTAATCAGAATTACAATAACGATGATGGGTTGAGGCATACTGGGAATGAGAGCGGTAGATTGTTGGGCTGTGTCGTCTATAGTAAGACCGCATTGAAAAGGCATATCTAGATGAGAGTCCAGTTCTGTAGTGCCTATAATGATGTATTGGGAGGTGTGGAGAATACAGTGAATGTGAAGAACCCCTTGAAGAAGGGAAAGGTGAATGAGCGATGTATCTTGAAATAAGGTGATGGTGACACATGATATGTAGACACATGATATGACCAATCCCATGGAGTCCAACTTCAATTGTCCCTGGTGAGGTGAGAGGAATAAGGAGAAGGTGGAGCAGAGGATGGTGCCAGGGAGAAAGCCAACAGTTCTGGACTAATCTTATTACATCAGATCTGTAAGGAGCTTTCTTCAGCATTGAAGGGCTGGATGGGGTGCATGGTATTGATGTTGCCTGTGCAAATGTATGTGTGGAGGTCAACAGTTCCAAGGTCTATGTTGCTGAAATAGACTGCCGAGGTTGACGGCACGTGTATGGATGGTGCCAGTGTCGTCGGTACTGCAGTGGCTGAAGCAGTTGCCGGTGGTGCTGATCAGTGGGCCATTGAGGCCATTGACAGCACCAATGCAGTTTTTTTGTCAGGGTTTTGGTTCTGAGAACAACTTATGCCTGGATATCACTGAACCGGATGTGCCCTGCTTGTCGCCTACACTCACTCGGGCTGACGGTAAAGAACGGGCTGGTGATGCTCTTTTTTGAGCTAGAGCCAACTGCAGAGAGATGGCTTTTCTCTTCTTGGCCCTGGGAGATTGCAGAGTGGAGACTGACTGAGAAAGCTCTGCGGATTGAAGCGCTTTATCAAATAAAAACATTTTCAGCTGCATTTCTTGGTCCTTACGTGCCCCAACAATGAGTCTGGCATAGTGGATGCATTTTTGAGGCACTTAATACAATTGGCATGGCCGTCTGATGCAGGCATCGTATCATGGCATGCGGCGCACCTCTTAAAGTCGGGAGATCCCGGCATAGTTACTTATATAACTAAGAACTGGTTTTGTTTTGTTTTTTTCTAACGGCAAACTAACTATAACTACTAACTATAAGGATTCAAACAAGAACTACAACTAACTGTAACACTAGATACACTTCTGTTCAACTCCTGACAGTCTGTCTGAGGAGAGAAGGCTCACTCCATCTGCGACCGCGGATGGTGAAGAAAGAACTGGCAGGAGCAGGACTGTGCGAGAGATTAAAAGAGCACGAATAGCACAAAGCACATGCTGTGCATGTGCGGCTCAGCTGACCACAGCTCATGAAAACTCCAGTCTGTAGTGCCAGGACACGAACAGTGGAGCACGTATAGGGACATCACTGGAAGAAGAAATATCAGAGTGCTCCCTTTACACTTCAATGACTGGGAAACCAAGCCTGGACAGTTAGCAGTTAAAAAAAACCAAACATTATTTTAGCAAAAACAACTCAAGAGGGGGGGGAACTCAAAGTAGAAGACTTTCTGTAGTAGTCTTCCCACCCCCACGTCCCAACAGAACTAAGTTTTGGTTCGCTCTAAAGGGAGAAAACAGAAATGGATTCCACTGTAAAGCTTATACTTCCCATGCTCCCTATTTTTTGTAAATGTCTGTAAAATAGATTCCTTAGCTTACTATGAGAAGTAAATATCTTTTTTGCTGCAGCAAGAAGAAAAACTGCTGAGAGAGAGAGAGAGTGTGTGTTAAAAACAAAGCCTACACAACTAATAACCACAAGAAATCAGGAACAAAATAAAGCCTTTGGGGGATATTTTTACATGCTATGCAACTTTTATATATCCTGTTGGTAGGCATTTTAGATAATACCAAATTTGACAAAGCAAACAGATGCTGCTGAGCACAGAATAAGGACAGTGAGAAAGATATCGTTTTCCCCACTATACTTTGCAATAAATATAGCTGTGACATGCAAGTCACCATGAGTGTCAGTAATGCTTGAAAGCTTTTGATCTCTGAGGATAACACCTGATGTAATCAGATTAAAATGCATCATAGCATTTATCTGAAACTATATTATGCCCCATTTCAGATCTCTTACCTTTCCTTTGTCAAATTGCTTCCAGGCTTCAATTTCTTTTGTGGTAGATCAGTTCCCCCTTCACTCAAACAATAAAATCTTCCCCTTCCAGGCAAACAAAAATAATCCAAAAGATACACTGTAATTCCAGTACTCTCCAGGGTCCCTTCCTTCTTAATGCAGAAGGGGAAAGAAAGGATTCCTTCCTTCACAGCAATCCCAAGGGTGAACTCTGTATTAAAATAAAGAGCACACAGGTGCCAAATCTGATAATTCCATACGGCTTCAACCCAGCCCTCTTCCGTGCCCTAATCAACCCCTCCCCAGCACAAATTCCTTAGTCTTCATTAATGAGTCTTTCACACAGACCCACCTGTTAGAAGTTTGTCCAGTCAGTTTGCTTTAACTAGACCCCACAACAGCTCTGGGCACTCGCAGCCATATCTGTTTCCTACAGGCTCATTCAAAAGCCACAGGCTGCTCTTTGTATAGTCCTGCCACTCCAGCTTCATGGCTGCCTTGATTATAGGCTCCTAATTGCCTGAGCAAAGAGGGCTGAGCCCCAGTAATCAGCAAGCAATCAGCATTTGCTCTTAAAGGGGGGCAATATTCTCAGTCACTACCATACATGACAATTTTGACAAACTGTTAGGCTGCTTACAATTGTCAGTAGAAATTTGCACAATGGAAACCTTGCTATTTACAATCCTGTTGAAATCAGTGGGATTTTGTGGACTCTAGCCTTTTCTTATTAGGTGCAACAGGCAAATTCTACCTCTTGCTAAGCACACTTACTTCCACTGAAAAATATTACAAGAAATTGTTTTTTCCCTAAGGAATTTAATTTTGAAAACAAAATGTCAAACAGCTTCTTGCCAATCTGCTTATTACATTTAAATGGTCCTGAAAGACCCTGAGAAATTGAATTTGTTATTTTATTAGAATCAGTTATTTTATTAGAGCAGCACTACCAGATTCTGCAACTGAACATAATGATGTGAATGCACACAACAGTCTGAGTGATTAATAAAGAACTGAGATGAAGATATTCTATATTATCCTCCCCTTCCAAAAAAATCTTAAAGAAAAGAATGGCAGGTAAGCTATTTTTCCTCCTGCCCCCACTCCACATGTTAAGATTACAGGATTCCAAAGTCGGGATATTTGAAAGTTAATGATAGAAAGGAGGACCTTAACTGGCTCTGCTATATATACACACATTTCAACACAATCTTGAATTAAATGTTCACATTGCTTCTGAAGTAATACAATATAATTTATCTTGTATTTTATATATCCAGGGTTATCTAAAGGCATGATAGTGCAGATGCTCAAAAGTCATAATTGTAAGTGACTAAAATACAATATCTAACTTCTGCATTGACTCACTAAGGAGCATTTTAACATTGTGTTTTGAGTTTCTACGATAACAAATAACCCCGCCACAACACATCCTCAATAAGCTACAGCATAATCACACACACTTGAGCAGCTCCAATATTCCATCCATCATGAGACAGTAAACTGCAAAAGTGTGGCATATTGTGCAAATTATTATAATGCCCCCAAACTGGCAGGTGGGGTCACAGCTGAGAATACCAGATTCAGAATAAACTGTTGAGAAATAGGCAGACTCACCTCCAAACCAGTAGTTATTTTATCCTAAGATATACAAACCTGTGACAAAAATAAACTTCTGTCTCACAACGCTGGTTAACAAGAAGTCAAAATGCAGTCTCATATTGCTTTCCAGCACTTATTTCACTCCCCGGACACTAAACTTCATGAAGAGCAGTTACTGAAAACCAATTTCATCAAACAAAAGGTTCTTTTGATCCCAAGAGATCAGCTTCATAACCTGGTCAATATATAACACAGATCTTTTCCACTAATCATGCTGTTTGTTTATAAGAGACTAGAAAGAGTGAAAATGGTTAAGGGAATCATATACATACAAGTGATTGTAAAGTTCTTACATACATTAGGTTTGAGGCAGTAATAGAATAAACTGCTAATTTGCAAAAGTCTTTCTGGAAATTACCCAAAAAGGTTGAGAATCATCAGTCCTTCTTTAGAGCTTCTTTGTTAGAAATACAGCCCAAAGTAATGAAGACAGAGTGTAGAGCTTTCCAGAATCATATACCCTCTCCTATGTGGATAGTATTTTACTGTCCCCCTCAAAAAAAAAAAACCCCACAGCAGAATCTGTGGAAAAGTACAGGCACAAAATGGAGCTCAGGGTCAGTTGCCCTTACAGGACTTGCTGTCTCACAGGGACAAGTCACTGGCTACTTGGGGTATGACTACACTACAAAGTTAATTCGAACTAACAGCCATTAGTTCGAATTAACTTTCATAGGCGCTACACAGGCAAACCGCTAGTTCGAACTTAATTTGAACTAGCGGAGCGCTTAATTCGAACTAGGTAAACCTCATTCTATGAGGACTAACGCCTAGTTTGACTTAAGTAGTTCGAATTAAGGGCTGTGTAGCCACTTAATTCGAACTAGTGGGAGGCTAGCCCTCCCAGTTTTCCCTGGTGGCCACTCTGCGCACCACCAGGGAAACTCGTCTGCTCCCCTTCCGGTCCCGGAGTCCTTAAAGGGGCACAGTCTGGCTACAGTGCGCGTGCCAGGTGCAAGCCTGCCACCACCCAGACAGCAGACACTGCACCTGGCACGGCTCGAGCCCGCCACCCGATGACCCCCAGCCCCCCCCCTCTTCCCGGGACCAGGCTGGCAGCTCCCGGGAGCTTGCCCGGGACCGCAAGAGGTGGG